TGTAATGAACTTTTTCAAGGTTACATAGGGATTTCAGACCCAGTTAGGGTTAATCATAGATTTAAAGTAAGGCAAATTTTAGAGTTTAAAGGATCCTTAAGAGGTACCTAATCTGAACACCTCATTTTATGCATTAAGAAACTGAAGCCCGTCGGGCGCGGTGGCTCATGCCTGTGACAAATTGGTTGAAAGAAAATATAAATAAGATTAGATCTGTGGTAAGTTGAGATTTGCAAAGTCTAAAATGCAATGATGCTTCCTGGCCTATGCCACTTTGATGTAAAAGTTGTTGGCTAGTAAGTTTCGATTACTTGATTATGCATTTGGTTTCAAACTTGGCTGTTAGAACTCAGCAGCTGTTTCCAGGCAAATTTTCAGCTCACAATCAGGTCAAAAGGTTGCCCAGCTGCACCTTTTTGAACTATAGTAAATACATTTCTGTCTAGTCTCATTATCATCTTTATTGTCTGATATTTTGTAACAGAGTTGAGAAATCATATTTTATGGCAATGAAGCTGCTAGGAAAAATTTATTGACTTAACAATCCCATCCAACATCTCCTGTCATGTGGAACTGTCCCCAGTACAAGGCAGATTAGTGAATGTGAGCTACTTCCATTTGGCCCAACTGTCTGGCTAAAGAATTTTCCATTACATGGGTGGATGAGATCAGCTGAGTTTGGAACCATTCAATTTATTCCGTGGCAACAAGAGAAGACAATAGGACTAGAACTGAATTTGAGTACACTTTTTTTTGTTGAGGTTCTGATGATAGGTAGCAAATGCTGAAACTTTCCATTTCATTATGCAATTATTTATTTATTTATTATTTATTTAATTTTATTTTATATTATTGAGGTATTTTTTTTTTTTTTTTTGAGAGATCTGCTCGCCCAGGCTGGAGTGCATTGGGCACGATCTCCACTCACTGCGCAGCTCGCCTCCCGCGCTGGTCACGCCCTCTTGTCCTGCCTCAGCATCCCTGAGTAGCCTGGCGACTACAGGCGCCCGCCACCACGCCCGGCTAATTTTTGTATTTTTAGTAGAGACGGGGTTTCACCGTGTTAGTCAGGATGGTCTCGATCTCCTGACCTCGTGATCCACCCGTCTCGGCCTCCCAAAGTGCTGTGATTACAGGCGTGAGCCACCGCGCCCGGCCTCAATTTATTTTTTAAGTAGATGTAAGCATATACCCTTGAGAGCTGTTTTGGTATCTGCCTCCATTGTAGATTCTGGACACAATGAGATGATAGTTAAAGCTCAACATAAAAAGGCCAGTTGATAATGCATGCCATTTCCCAGGTGTTCAGTGGCCCCAAGGTTCTATCTTATCTTTCCCTTTCATGCCAGGTCAACGAATAAGGCCAGGGGACCTTTGGAATTCACTTTTAAGTGGTATGCTAGGCTTCTTTCAATTCTGACAATGCATTGTCTGCTATTACTTCTCATGTTCCACATTCAAATGGGGATACAAACCAGGACAAATTGGTTGAAAGAAAATATAAATAAGATTAGATCTGTGGTAAGTTGAGATTTGCAAAATAGGTCAAATTTTCAGTCAAGTATTTAGAAATAAATAGATTTATGTTATGATATAAAAAGAGCTTTAAACTTTATAGTCAGAAAAAGCAATGAAAAGAAGTGGCAATTATTTTTAATGATAAGAATTTTCTGCACTTGAAAATGGGATTTATCATTTCAGTAGACAGTACATGTTGTAAATTACAGGTAGATTAACTTGATATTCTACAAAGAATCTTGCTTGAAGTAAAATGCATGAATTTATATTCACACAGAAGAATAAAGTTATTATTTTCCAGCATTGGATCATATTTTGAACAAAGTAGGTTACATGGATAATATGTGAAATTTAACTGTTAGTGGTTTGATTTTCATATAAGTGCTAAATTATTTTTATAAACATTTTATAATTATCCCATACTGTCTAAAACTTCATATTAAAAGGCACTAAAATATTAGTGTCATGCAAGCAATAGATATTTCATAAGTGCTTTTGTTAATGATAAAACATGTTTTCCCCACAGGAGTTTCCATTTCTGTTATGTGTGGAATTAGTGAAGGCAACCTTATATATCAACAAGATTTCCCTGTTTAATTTAATTTGAGGTCTATATTTTATTCCACAAAATTAAAATATTGCCTCTAATTATCATTTTTTATCATATCAATGCCCTCTAAAAAATTCAGACTTACCAAAATCATAGCCTTCTCACAAAGTGTATATAAATCAATGGAAAATATTTTCATCTGAATTTTGTAAATAAAAACTAGAATTAATCACAAAAAGTATTTGTAATGAACTTTTTCAAGGTTACATAGGGATTTCAGACCCAGTTAGGGTTAATCATAGATTTAAAGTAAGGCAAATTTTAGAGTTTAAAGGATCAGCCGAAAGAAAGACAACGAACAGAAAAGAAGAAACAGAGAGAAAGAAAAGAAGAAAGAAGAAAAGAAGAAGACAGAAAGAAGAACGAAAGAG